CCCCCCCGACGACGCGGCGTAGTCGTAGACGTCCTCGTCCACGCCCCGCCCGGTCGCGGCCTGGACGCCGTCGAGGAGGAATTCTTTAAAAAACCGCCACGCGGCGGCGCGCGCGATCCGCGCCTGCTGCCTGGCAAGCGGGAGCGCGTAGCGGAGAAACCAGTAGTCGGTCGCGTGCTGTGCGGCAAGCGTCCGCAACGGGAGCGGAAACCGGGCGGAGCTAAAGCGAGGAGATGAATCGCCACCCCGAGCCGTCGTCGGAGGCCGCGCCGGGGGAGGGGAGTTAGCGGGATTCTCTAAAGAATCCCGCTTTAAAAGCGCCGCGGTGCGCTTTAGCGCGCCCAGAGAATCTCTTTTCCACGCCGGAAAGAGCAGCGACGTCGCCTGCTGCAGCACCGCCTCAGAGAGGTAGGGAAGGAGCACGTCAATCGGGAAGTAGCTGAGCGGCAGGCAAAGGTAAACACTCATGGCCTCGCCGCCGTTTGGATCGTCCACCCCCTGATGCATCATCGAAGAGGGGGATTTGCGGGAATGGGGGTGGGGTATCAACCAGGAAGGTCGCCCGTACACCCGCCAGGCGGCGTAGTAGCGGCAGCCTCGACGCATCGCGCCGAAGCCCTCACCGTCCACACCGCAAACCGTCGTTTCCCTCTTTTTCCCGTTGCCATCGCCCCCTCTTCTCGCATTCTCATTCCCGTTGATGGGTTCCCCCGCGAGAACGACGCGACGCCACAGCCAGGCGTAGTAGCGCGCCTCCTCCAAGAGGGCGAGGCGGCGGAATAGGACGTAGCGCAGGATGCACGCCACACGGCGGAGCCACCGACGATCCTCCACGAGATCGAGGACCTCGCCCGCGGCGTCGCAGAGCTCAAGGAGCTCCGATAGTGGGAAATCCGCCGCGAAGGCGAAGCTCTGCATCACGCCGTGAAAGGCACCCCCTCGGTGAAGGCCACGCCGCGTTGGGATCGAGGCGCGCTCGCGATGGGGCTCACATCCAGCAACGCCCTCTCCTCCCCCTTTCCCTCGGTTGGGTTGAGGTTCACCGAACCGATCCCACAACGCCACGATCCGCCCAGCAGCGTCGCTGTCGTTCGCTAGCAAATCCGAAAGCGCCTTCTTATCATCGTTCTCCCCGCTCGGCCGTGCGTCCGCGCCGCAGTACTGCAGCACCTCCTCGACGTAGAGCCCCTCCCACCGCTCAACGGCATCGCGCAAATGCTGCAGCACCACCCTTCGCGAGTGAAGCGCCTCCGTACGGGAAAAACAGACGTAATAACCAACGCGCAAAGCGGCAATAATCGTGACGGAAAAGAGAATATTATACGGAATCGGGAAATCCTTCATGAAAGCACCTCGAAGGACCGGCGCGGAGGCCGGAGTTGTCTGCTCATTAGATGAAAAGTGCATGCACTGGTAGTGGTGGATGCGCTTGGCAAGATGCTGTATCCCGATAAAAGCGTTTTTGAGAATGTCCATCGGGAGAGATTTTTAATTCGTGTGGATAATCTATACATATATCGATGTAAATCACCTTTTTAAAGCTTCATATTTCGTGATCACAATCTGTGCACATCAATATCAAGCAAAATTAGATGACTGTGAAGAAGGAAAGGCCTCCAATGGTAAGACCTCGAGCCTCGATAAATAAAAATTTATTGTTTTATGACTGCTGGTACTTTTTTTTTGGAGATTAAAAAGGGTCAAAGGTGGAGAAGGACTCTAGAAGAAAGTGTTAACCAACGACAGGGAGATAGATTACAACCAGCTCGCTTGATGCACGCGGTGCCGTCATCCACGTGTTCAAGTGAAAAAATAGTATTTACGATTTATCCCAGATGTATTCCCTTTGCCGTCTTTACTCAAAAAAACACGTGAAGACACGCCCCCTCCCTCCAAAAGGAAAAATGCTGCTACAACATAGTTTAACAGTACAAGGGTAGGGAAACATATTTCGGGTTCCTTTTAAAAGTTAATTTCAAGGTTATTTATGGGAGCGAGCCCCTCGTTGGGCCTTATTTACACGAAAAAAAAGCCACGCACACATGCTTGCATTCAGACAGAAAAGGTGGACTACGTTAAAAGTTCAACTGATTCCTATGCATATCTATATATATCTATATATATTATGCGTCCCATCGAACCATGTTAACGTACCCACTTAGGAAGCTTTTTGTAAGGGTTATCTGCCTTCTTCTGCTTCAGTTTCTTCCCCTTCGCCTCAGCGCGCTTCTGCTTCGCTTCAAGACGCGTATTCACGAGCCCCTTTCCATCCTCTGACTTTCGTAGCTTGCCCTGTTCCAGATGTTTCGCCTTCGCCTCAAGCGCGGTGGCCTTCTTCAACCCGCTCTGCACGACACCGTTCACCATCTTATAGTAGCGCGCCGCCTTCTTACGCGCGACCTGCAACTGCATTTTCCGCGTGGCGGCCTCCTGCCGCTTCGCCTCGCGCAGCTTTCGCCGTACGCGTTGGTCATTCGTCTCCTCCTGCCGCTTTGCCTCACGGGCGCGCAGGATCGCCTGGCGCCGCCGCGCAACGACCTCATCCGTCGGCGCGTTCATCGTGTTTCGCTCGCGCTGCTTCTTCACCTTGAGCGCGGAGAGCTTCGAGCGCTCGACATTCTCGGTCACGCCCTCCTCCTCCCAGGCGGGACGCCGCCGGGCCTCGTTGAGTTCATCCTCGCTGAGCGACACGTCGTCGTCGGCGTCGAGCTCCGGCACCGCGACGTGGGCCTCATCCTCGCTCAACTCGCCGTCCTCCAGCGCGGCGAGGGTACCGTCCGCATCGAGCGGGGTATACCCAGGGTGGAGCAGCTTCCGTATCTCGTGCACGCGCTGCGGAACGTAGGAAACGAGCCGTGGATGGCGTCGCTTCGCCTCCTCGATGGCCGCGACGTCCTCCGGGTTGTTCGAGATCGCGACGGTGAAGGGCGAGACGTGCGGCGGGAGCTCCTCCCCGAGGCGGTAGCCCGCCACCGGGAGCAGCGCCCGGGCGTTCAGGCAGTCGAAGAGGTACTGCGGCTGCACGTACTCCGCCCGCTCGAAGGGCCGCATCCCCGGCGGCAGACTCGGCCGGTCCATCACGACGTGCGTGGGGAGGTCCCCTGGGGCCCCCGCGGGGCCGTTCAAGGCCACCCCACAAGCGGCGTTCTCGAGGACGCGGCCGCCGCAGGCCTCGATGACCAGCCGCGCGTGCTTCGCGGGGACCTCGCGGGAGAGGCTAAAGCGGAGGCCCGCGAAGACCCCCCGGACGGCCTGCAGCTCCCGCTCCATCAGCTGCAGCCGCCCGGCGACGGCCTTGACGTCCCCACGGGCCGCCGGGGCGTCGCCGCCGGTCGCGTCTTTCCTCTCCGGCTTCAACCCACGGCCGTCGTCGCCGGCCTCCACGCGGAGGACCTCCTCCGTCGGGAAGTTCTCCGCGTTGGCGTTCACCCCCTCGTCGGCGATGCGCTCCCGCTCCTCCAGATCACGCGCGAGATCGCGGTTGAGCTTGACGAGCACGAAGCGCATCAGCTCGAGGTAGAACTCTAAAAACGAAAGCATGATGTACTGCTGAATCCCCTTGGGAAACTTATGCGCGTATTCGTGCGGGCACAGCCATCGAATCCGCTCGCCGCGGACTAAGGCCTCGAAGTAGTAGCCCTTGATGGAGATGAACCCCTTCGTGAGCACCTGCGAGCGCGCGACGAAGCGGTTCCACTCCTCGCAAATATTCTTTGCCTTCTCGTGCATGCCAGAGGTGAGGCTGTGGTGAACCTCAACGTTGCTCTCCGAGCGAATCTCCGGCGAGAGAAACGCGTAGAGGGAAATCATCGTCATGGCATCGTCCACATCGCGGAGGGCATCCACAAAGTACGGATACCGTTCTTTAATCGTCGCCACCAAGCTATGCTGCGGCTTCACACGAACGCTTTGTAATATCTTAAGGTCATCCTTTTTTCCCATCGCCTCGGCGCGTTTTACCTTTCGTTCCCACGCGCGATGCGCCATCATCTTATCTGTAAGTTGGTCCCGCACCAACCACTTAATTTCCTTCGCGAGGTAGTACTGTTTTTCATCGCCGCTCAGCTTCTGCTTGCTGCGTGCGAGTGCGCGGGGGTAGATGCCTTTGAGAATGCATAACCGGCGAAATCGGATCGCATCCACCTGTAAAAGACGCGTTGCCTGCATGCGGGTGAGGTACTTCTTCTTAAACCGCTCCTTCTTCACCCGCTTCGCCCACGACTGCTTGTAGTGAGGCATGTTGAGTTCAAAAGTGTAGGGATTTTATTTCAAATTATGACTTACCTCTTCAACCTTTAAGTGGTGTATCTTATTTATACGGATTAATTTTAAGTACCCCTTTGAGACTCTTGTTCGCTAGCATAAGAGAAAGGGTGGTGTAGGTGTGTGAGGGGAGAAAAACAAAAATGAATTGAACAAACATAGCAATAAAAAAAATGGTCGTAACGATTACAAAATTGACTAGACGAAAAAAATTATTCCATCGTCTTTCAAAATATTCTGCCTGTTCGAGAGCTTAGTTTAGTCTCACCTTTTAATACTCTCTTCATCCCTTGTCTAGAGATATTTCACGCACCAGCAAAAAGAAGAGAACCGAAATGGAAATTTCATCATTTCTCCCTTCGAAGAAATGTTGGATAGATAAGGAAATGAAAGATCTGATTGTGATGACACCTCTACACCCTTTTCCAACCCAAAGAAAACCAGGCCGTCAGACAACGACATCAGTCTTTATCCTAACGTGATCTAAGAGCTTTGGTATTGGTTTCTCTCCTACGGACCTCTCACTCGTGTTGTAGATTTGTTTTTTTCGCCTTTCGAACACCCTTTTTATTCCGCATTTTTCAGATTTGGGTAGGTAGTTTGCTAGCCAGACACTTAGTCCTTTTGGAGTATCCTTCGTGGTTATATTTACACGCGTTCTCTCCCCACCAGAGGTTGGGCCTGAATCGATAATTTTCATCCTCCTGTGCATCACGGAGCGGCGTTTGACGGTGGTTGAGACGTTGCTTCATCTTCCTGTTCCGCCTCGCGGGCCTCCGCGGGGAGGACATGGTGATTGTTGCCTTTGTTTTGTCGCCACCGCTCGCGCTGGAGTGTTTCGTACGCGGCGCTTTGAATTCTCGCATGGCGATCGTGCTCACAGCCCGGGTAGACGCCCTCCTCGTACTTGCGATGCAGGAGATTTGCGTCCGGTACGGATTCGGACGAGAAGTAGTACGGAGGGGTGAAGATGCTGTAGAGAAAGGTGCTCCGCGCCTCGAGTGAAGGGAAGTCGTCACTCCAATCCCCCATCCCGGCAAACCCGTCAAGGGGGAGAACGTGGTCGATATCCACCACACGACGCGTGAAAAGCACGCCGTTTAAATGGTCTAATTCATGCAGCGCCATGCGTGCGCGTATTCCGTTAAGAGTCGTCTCGAAGGGTTTTCCGTGCTCGTCGAGCGCCCGCAGGCGGACCGTAGAGGGCCGCTCGATGTAGTGCATCAGAAAGCAGCAGCTCGCGCACGGCTCCCAGGCGAAACCTGTCTTCCTTTCCAGCCGAAGCGCTCTAACCTTTTTTTCTTCATAAGCCATGTAGGAGGAAATCCCTTGGGCCTTCGCCTCCGCCGCCCATGCCTCTGCATCGAGGTTAATCGGGTTAATAAACACGCTATCGTCGAACAATGTGAACATCTGAACATTCCACCCAATTTGCGGTGCGCAGAGGGATGGGTATTGGTAATAATGCCGTGTGGCTTTCACCTTCGCGATAAGATCGCTGAACTCATCCTGAGCGACGAGTTTCGGGTTGAGTGTGTACTGCTTGCACCAAAGCGTACGAGCTGGCAGTTGTACAATCGGAAACTCCACTTTGACACTATCACTGGGGTTGTACGTCCGATCTTTTCCACCATCCGTCTCCTCGGTAGAGGAAACCCGTCGTCGGGTGGTGCTGCAACTCAAGGGTGATTGCACGGCCGCACAGCTGCTCGAGATGGACTTGAGATACGGTGGCGGTCGGCGCATAAAGAACCCAAGCTTGCTTGAAAGCGGTATCAAGCACTTTCGGATCATTTTGTCTTGCGTGAAAAATTTCAAGGCCTATACCTCTAACATACAAAGAAATCAGCCCTAATAATGATTCTGGGAATCTAGAAATCAAAAAGGAAGAGTACCAAAAAAGAGATTACATCCATTTTTTTACCTGAGAGAGAGGAAAGGTCTAAGGACTCACTTTACTGATAACAGGGAGGGAGGGAGATACACAATTCATAAACATCGTCAACGATTTTTTCGAAGTGACGAAACCATCGTTTGGAAAAGCGAAGTACGCCAGTGAAAAATACAGAAGAATAATAGTACACACCTTGAACTAAGCGAAAAGTATATCAAGCAAAGAGACCAACACGAGAATCATCCTTAGAACACAAATACTTAAGGATGGATTTCCTTTCTCTTTGCGTTACTCAAGCGCCCAAGCGCGCGCTCACACACACACACACATATATATATATATATATATATATATATATATATATATATAT